CAGACCAGCATCAGGGGAGTCTCTACCTCCTGAGGCCGAGGTCCATGTGAGAGATAAACAGAAAGGGCCCATTGGGAAGAGTCTTCCAGCAGTCCCGGGGGGGGGGGCACGCACTCACAGCAAAAGCCTGCGTGTTGTCTGTAAACACATTCCTCACTGCCTCCGGCTCTAGCCAGCTACTGCTCACTCACCTGGGGAGGCCTAACTGCAGAGCCACAGGAGCAAGACACACCTGGCATCTGTAGCGCTAGCATGTTAACTGATCTCCTAATACCTGTTTAACCAGTCTGTGCTGACCCAGTCCCTTTGGGCTGTCATTCAGGCCAAAGGCTCCTGTCTGCCAGCAGCAAGGTAAAAGTGAGCTGTGATCTTTGGTTACAAAAAAGAGGTGAGCCTAACTGGCCATACTGTCCATCTGAAAAAGCCTGGCTCACCAGCACTGTGGTGCATTCACTCCGCAGCACTGACTGAGAACACCTGGAGTCAGCCGGGAGCCTCGCTCTTGAGTGTTTCCCTAGAATTCTCTGAAAGTCCTGCAGGAAGAGCCTCTGTGCCCCAGGGAGCCAGCTCCAGCGACAGCCAGCCCCAAAGTCGTCCCAGGCAGCGGCTAAGCCGCCTGAGCCTCTCCAAAGCATCCGTAACTGCACAGGGAGACCGACGGTAAATTAGCAACAGCAAAGCCCTATTAGCTACAACTGCAACTCTCCAGCAAGGCGGCAGGTCCCAGTGAAGAATATAAGGCTGTTACACTCAACATCCTCCCAAAACTACAAACACACATTCGTTCATTTGATGACAGCATAAACAATTTTAACCAACACTGACCATAACCTTAATCAATCAAAGTGACGATAGATGGAAAGTCATACTAGTATTTGCTAACTGTTCCAATTCCACACTGAAAAATTCAATGAGAATAAAATTAAGCAATCTTTGAAATACTAAGCTTTTCTGCTCTGCAAAGAGCAGACTATTCAGTAGAGCGTTTGAGGAGTCTGGATTGAATCCACGTCTGCCAGTTACCAGTTGCAGAACCTGGGGTAATAAATTACTGAACCTTTCTTAAACTTCCTTTCCTTGTCTATAAAATGGGATTAGGCACGGCATGTACCTCCTGAGCCTGTGTGATGGATAGATGAGATAATAAACAGTGCATGCATGCCACGTGGCAAGCCCTCAATCAGCGTTCGCCAACCTGTCATCATCATTGTCATCATCACCTTCCGATTTAGCACAAGGCACCAAAACCATCCATTGGTATACCTCTCTAGCTCACTGGCTCAGAACATTCACATACTGTCACAATAGAGATATTTCCCTCGGTGACCCAGTAAAACCAGATCTTTCCAACAACTTCCAGCCTGGTGAAGCAAACAATTAGGCTCTCCAGAGGCACTGAGCCAAATACATTTCAAATCCCTTACTGTGTGTAGCCTGTTTCATAAATACTTCTCGTTCATTTTAAACACCGAAGGACTGTCTGGAAACTGTTTATCACTTCACACGCAGTTCCCTAGATCCTGTACCTACAGCAGAGGACACTGTGAGCTCAATAAAGCATGTATGACTCCCATTTTTAAAAAGAAGAGGAAATTACGCTGCATGTCTTCCAAATCAGCACCCATGCTGAACACACCAATTCAAGAGATATGGGTAGGCTTACTATGTGCTAGGGAGAAGCTCCCAGAGACTTTATGGTGAGAACTGAAGAGAGGAAGAAAGCCTCAAGTGTCTAATGGGAGAGGCCCCTGCAGAGCTGCAAGCACATATTCCTGGTAGGCAGCACACGCTGCCACGGAAAATGCAGGAAGAGGCCTGATTCAGTCTGAGGGAAACAAGCTTTCTTGATGTCAAGGCTGACACCTGAAGGGTTCAGATAAGTTAGCCTCCTGAGAAATGAAAAGATATGACTAGAAAAAAGAGTAGATCAGAGAAGGCAGCCAGGAAGCCACTGGACCACTCTGTGGGCAACAGGGATCACTCTGTTTTACATTTTACACAATCAGAACTGCACTTTAAAAACCTCTTTCGGGCCGAAACCGGTTTGGCTCAGTGGTAGAGCATCGGTCTGCGGACTGAAAGGTCCCGGGTTCGATTCCGGTCAAGGGCATGTACCTCGATTGCGGGCACATCCCCAGTAGGGGGTGTGCAAGAGGCAGCTGGTCCATGTTTCTCTCTCATCGAGACGTTTCTAGCTCTCTATCTCTATCCCTTCCTCTCTGTAAAAATCAATACAATATATTTTTAAAAACCTCTTTGGGGATACAGTGAGGACAACAATCCAGGCAAGAACAACGATAAATGAGTGAGGTAAAGGGGAGTAAGTGAATGGATGGGGAGAGGGAAGGAAGGAACCACCATGTCAGGTGGGATACCAAGCTCTTGACTGCAGAAGCTTGGGGGCCGGGGGTGTGGGTTCCTTATTGGGCAGGACTCAGGCTTCTGTGAGTGATCCAAGAAGCTGAAGCACTTGATAAGCAGCAAGATTCCAGAGAATGGAATGCAGGTAAGAAAACACAGCTGGAGACAGACTTGGAAGTTATCTGCACATTTACATGAGAAGTGAAGTTATGAGAGTAACTGAAATTCCCCAGAGAGACAAATGTTTCCAGGACAGAAACCATGAAAAACCCAGTAGAGTGTAGTGTTCAACACTTAGGGTAGAAAATGCTTTTAGGAAGACCTGCCAGTTGTGTGAAATAGTGCAGTGGAGTCAGTAGAGGTCAAGTCCAAAATATTTCCCTTGGACTCAACAATGAGGTCATAGGTGAGGTGAGCTTGTTGACAAAGGTGAACCTGAAACCCAACGGTGGTCCGATCAGGAGGAAGTGGAAGTGGGAAAGTGCTTGCTTGGCTGTTGGGGAGGAGGAGGAAAGACTAAGTGCAGATTTGAAGTTTAGAGAGGTGACACATGCATTCTGACAGGAGGGAAGAAGAAAGAATGGGAAGAGATACAAGTATGTCTGCAGGTAGGTGTGTGGAGGCGGATGTTCCAGACTGGCTCAGCGTGGCAGAACTCACAGGCTAGATTCTAACTCATGTTTAACCAACATTCTTTTCAGTTCACCAGCTCATTGAAAAAGACACTGCCTTCCCTCCCCCGCCTCCCTTTAGTTCTTTCAGAAGGCCATGTGAACCAAATGTGAAACTGTAATCTAATCTGATGTGCCTTATTCCAAAAGGCAGGGTCCCAACTTCTTCAAAGCTAATCCTAAAATCCTACTAAGCCAAACATTTCCTGTGCGATGAATGGCCGCACAGCGTGTGGCGCACACACATCCAGGTCCGGGCGGGTGCCATGCTGCCATCCAAAGCAAAGAGTTTAACTTAGTGTTACATTTCATCTTATAGTCTAGATCCAGTAATTGTCATATGTATAAGATAAAGACAGTTTGGGAGAAAAAAATAAAGAAACAAAAGAATTCTGAAAAGTCTAAGACCGTGACAGAAGTCTCAAATGTACAAGAGATGCAAAGACTGGATGCTGGCTAATAAATCTGTTCCTGTTGTAACATTTGTGAAATCGGTTTGGGTGCCAAGGAAAGACTTCTAGGATCATCAACACATCGGCTGTAAAATAACTACTGGTATTTACATAGATGGCTTATTATGCATTGACCCTCAAAAACTGCCTAATGCTTACAACCCAAGTTCTGAGATGCTCTGGCCTATTTAGAGTCTGAAGTTGAAATGACGAAATAAACCATGGGCTATTAATGCCATATATATTCTATAAGCAACACATTTTTATATGAAGAGATATTGAATTAAGTACAGTTAGACCAAATGTAATAAAAACATTTTTATGCCATTTATGATCACTGTGATTGACGTAGTAAAACGGTAGCTTCATGAGTAGTTCTAATAAATGATTTCAACAAATGAGATTACAAAGCAATGCTTAAAGCGCTTAATGTGACAGGGATCTTTACATTCTAATTACAAACCAATTCTTAGGTGCTCTTTACACAGGTTCCCCAAGGTCAACTAACTATGTGGGTTTATTGGTTTAAGTTAAAGTAGTAAAATGGTTTCTTTCTTTACAGTGTAATGTCTCTGAAGCCACTAATCAATCTTAGAATCACCAGTGGGACAAGCTGGTACTATGTACCTGTGGGTGCAATACATAAAGAATACAGCACCTGTGACGTATTCCTACATAAAAATTCAACCTGAATCTAATTAAATTTCTAGAAACTATGGGATAAAGAGAAACAAGTCAAACAGTATCAAAAGGAAGCCATTACCCAAATTCAGAAACTCGGGTGACATATACGCAATTTTCTTAACAACTCAACAGCACATTAAAAAATAAAATAAAATTGCTATAGAATAAGAGACATTTAAGTTATATAACAGCCGATGTAAAGCAGACTCTCTCTGAATCCTGACCAGAATAAACCAACTTTGAGAAGATCATAATAATATTTAGTTCAAGTCTAACAATGAGCATTTTTTTAAAAATTTAATACTTGGAAATGTGTATTTATTATTTTAAAAAGAGAAAAAATATACATATTGCAATTCAGATTTATCAGTGATTTTTGAGTTCCAGAGCTTCTCCTAGATACTTTACGGATGAGATCCCTCTTCCTACTACCAAACTCGAGAAATAATCACGTAAGTCATAAAATGCTACTAGCAGTTTTCAAAACATCCACTTCCTTCCCTCCTGTTTTCTTCCGTATTTGTCATGGGGCTAAAAGGTAAATTCACACCTTTGTTCTCAGTTTCCTCACCAATGTGGTGGATAGCTCACTGCCAGCCTTGGTGGGTAAAAGTAATGGAAATTATTAGCAAAATCCAGAACAGGATTGGAAGGGCTTAAATATGCCCCTTTTGTAGATAAAGAAACCGAGGCTGAGAGACACTGAGTGATTTTTGAGGTCACCCTACTACTTACTGACAGAGGCAAGCCAAGAACCCAAGTCCTGGAGGTCTGTGGGTGGGTGCGCTTCCTTACACCAAGGGGGCGGGGGTGGGGGTGGGGCTTTCACGCGTACCTTCCCGTGCTCCTTCCTCACGTGGGAAATGTAAAGATCTCTTTGCGTGAACAGGCGGTCACACTCCCAACACGTCCACCCGAGGATGGCCATTTTCTTGGGGTCCATTGGTTTCTTCACAGGAGATGGGGATTTATTTTCCAATTTCTCTTTCCCGTTCATGGATCTGACGTCCTCCTTGATTTGATTTGCTGAATTTTGAGTTGTGGGCTTAATGCTCAAAGGCAAGTTTATACCCAAGTTTGGAGGCCCTTCAATACTTTTCAACGATCCATGCATAGACTATGTCACAAAAAGAGAAGAAATATCTATCACAAATCACACCACTAAGAGAGCGCATGTGGGTTATCTCAATGCATAGGACGTTTACATGTGATTTACATTCACTCAGAAATAGTCACATATCAAGAAGAAAACCTAAGCAGAATAATGCTCTAAAAAGATAAAGTAGTAGTATTTGTATGTCAACGAAATATGCATTTCTAGTTCAAAACTATTTTTGAAAAGTTATTTGCTTATGCCATTCTAAAACTCTTTAAAGAAGGACTTCGGTACTGAATCCAGATTATTCCTGACACACCCAGTCAGCACAGGGGGTCTTCCCTGTAACAGAGCACGTCTGGGAAAGAACATTTCACTTTCACATACTGGTAGGTGTTCGAGACCCTCACTTAACCAACTTTAACAAATACCTAAGACCCGTATGCTAACAGCAAACCCTTCTCCTCCCTTTCATATTCTTGGAACACTTGTAATGGTTGAGGGGTTTGCTGGAGTTCGGGGGCAATTCTAATCTCTGTGCACCCTGTCTAGATCTATCCTTTCTTCCTGATAGCAGACTTGTGAACTAACTATACACAGTAGATACTCAAAAAGCCTTCTTAAACTGCTTAGCTGTTTATCCTCATTATCTTCAACAGCTATCTTCAGTTAAATGCTCAGGATTTCAAGTTCTACTGGGGTAAAACGAGTGCGTTTGATTCTGAAGACTGGCTCCCATTGCTTTTTGTCTTGTTTGTGTTCTAGAAGCATGGAGCAAGAACAAAGGAAGCGCACCAGCCCATGCGTCCCTGAAGTTTCTCTTTGCCTCCAGCCTCTCCTTACAACAGTGGCCAGGCTGTGGCCAGCCTCCAAGTTGTTGGCTACAGAAAGACAGGGCGGGGGGTTGTCCTCTGAGGCCCTCCAGTGCAGGCAGGACTCCTGCTTACGTTCTCAGGCCGGGTCTTCCCTAAAGAGAGCCAAGAAGTAGCCGGCCTTCCTCAGTTCTGCTCACCCCAGAGGGAAAGGGGTTCTATAACTTTCTCCTGAGCTGAGGTTACAGGTCCACCCGGTCACAGGGGCCTAAGCGGCATATCCCACACTCCTTGGCAAAGAGAAACCTGGGGTGAGACGGGATGTCTAGACTCCCTAACACTGTGCTTTGCTTCCTTTCCACCATGCAGGGCAGAGGCTTCCGGTTTTTTACAAAACAGAAGCCCTATTTTAACTCTGTTAACCATTTTACATCCCCAAACTACATCCAAGACCTAATAAGCTTTCCCTACATTTCTAGGCAAATGCATTTTTACTGAGAAGTTGAAGGAAGTATTAAAGTATTCCTTTATAAAATAATCTTATGGTGCTATAGAAATTACAGAAAAGCAGCAAAAACTTCTGCTATAACAAGAGAGCAATGGTAAGTGAAAATCAGATTATTTAAAACAAAAATTTCAATAACAAAAATATGACTTTAATTCTTTCAGAGTTGATTTTTCCTTAGCTCCAGTCACAATAAATAAGATGAATACTGTAACTTCAAAGTTGCCTTTGAACGTAAATGCCAACGTGGAATAAATCTGCATTTCACTGGAACTAAGAAGTGGCAAGCACTGGGTTAGACTGGGCAGCTAGAGACCTGCCTTGAAAGGCATGTGGGAAAACTCTGCTCCTGTGCGACTCCTCCCAACGTCTTCCTCATGACAGACTGACCATCACGGGCATTGGGCAATGAAAATAAATCCACAAGAGCTAGGTACATATCTTAAAAATAACAAAAACAGGCTGCCCCTAAAGCTTGATTTTCATTCTCACCCATCCCAAGCACACCGAGGCGGGGCAGGATTTCAAGTGCACAGAACATACTTGAAATGAGACCAATGAGTGAGTGTTCACTCCCACTATTTTCATATCATGTCCTATAAAAGTTGGGTTGAATAAAAACAATGCTTTCCTCCTGTGGCCACAGATTCTACCACTCCTCATCAGCCTCCATTTCTTGGGACCTTGTATTCCTCCAAGTTCACTATTCACACAAGGGGAGACCCTAGCCACCAAATCGATGACCCACTTCCAGGTGTAAAGGTGACTTCCAGAAAGCAAATACCTTAAAAGTCTTTTAAGGAGTAGCTTTCCTTTGCGTCCCCTCCCCCATATAATATATTAAAATATCTGGGTCTAATCCCAATGTCTCTACATTTTATTTTATTTTTTTTTTTAGCAGTTTTTAGTTTCCCCTGATCATTCATTATGCACTGTCAAGACAGTTTTATAAATTTAGCAAAAAATTTAAATATCTTATGAGGAGTGCACTGTACTTCAAGTGAGAGTGATGAAACACACCACCTAGCCCATGCGCTTTCTTGGCCCTAAGAATATGTCACACCACCACTGCCTTCGCCTGGCCTCTAGTGCGCAGACTCATGCAGACATGAAGTCCTGTGCAATAGGCACTATGCTCACATATATGAAACATGGGAAATTTCAAGGCTTAATTGTCCATTCATTTAACTAAACTTTAAAGTGAGACTAAACTAATTTAGACTTAATTTGTTCTTTTAATAAATGGACCTTTTTGTGTAATGAATTAAAACAGAGAAAAACTAAGGAGAAAGAGATTGAATTCATGATAATATTGAATTAAATTTTTAAAAACAGTTAAAATCACTTTAATCTCAGAGGTAATATATATTTTCTCCCACTCACATAGGAATAAACTTATTTTACCTACCAATGGACAGCTAAGAGGCTAGGACCAAGCTCAGGCCTTTGTGAGCTTAAAAGGCTGTAAAGAGATTTAAGTGTCCCCTTTAGGGGTTAAGAGTAAGTCGTCTAAGTTGGACATTTATTCATTTCACTAACTGAATACCACCAGGTGCTACAGCCCTGTGCTGTATCCTGGACATTTCATAGTCAACTTACATGCAACCTTGATAGAAGGGGAAAAAGAGACTAAAGATGCAGGAGCATCAATTATAATGCAAATTTAGTCGCTTAATTTCAAGGGAAAAAACCTTCATTTTTCAAAATACATCAATATTTATACATATCAGACAATCTGTCAGTCCCTTTCTATTTCTAAATCCTCTACCACACCAAGTTTCCTAAAAAAGTGAACTTCACAGTCATCATTTTCACCTATAGAAAAAGAGAACCCTATCACTTTATTATGATTTTAAAATCCGTGCATGCATTTGTTACTTTGTGTTGACCTTTCATGGTCTGCAGATCAGGCCTTGGGGATAAAAGTACCCTTCACTGGAGTGAACATGTACATTGCTCATTACCATCGACCAGCATCCATCCCTTCCCTTGACAGCCCACATGCCTTATCGTAATCTGCTGCTCACCCGTGACTTAGGACCAATGGATGGATCTGGGATTCATTTAAAAGACACGAGAGAGACGCACACACCTTGATATGGTCCATCATGAGTTGCTTCTGTGCATATAAAAGAGAACAGTCTGGACACTTGAAAACAGACACCTTCTGGTTTTCGATGTGTTGGTCAAAGTGGCGATACAACAGGGTTTGCAGGGTAAATACGGTGTCGCACATGGAACACTTATATATTATTCTAAAACAGAGAAGTGCATGGACACGTCAGTCAGCCCCCACCGCTCAAACCAAAGGAACTTTCATCTCATCTCAAGACTTCCGGAGGCAGCAGCAATGAGAACACATAAACACGGTAAGAACAAAACAGGTTAGCATTGAAATAAACCTTTGAAGGCAACTGACATCACTCAAATGCAGATCAATCTTAGTATTTTGGGCAAGGACTTGGGCACAGTTGCTTAGACGTCTAAGTGAATGACCATTTAGGACTTACAGATCTACAATGGACAGGTTTTCATAAGGTCTCCACTTGGCAGTTAACACTAAGCAAAATCACCATTTTTTTTTTTTTTTTTAAAGATCAGACAAGGAATGCTGCTCAATGGTGGTACCCTAACCTGAAAAGGATTTTGAGGAATGCAGTAAGCAGGCCCACTCCCATAACAGCCCCATAACAGCTCAAGCTGTCACTTGTGCCAAGTTTTCACCTGGACTTAATAGCAGTCTTACACTTGAATGTCAACATTCTGTTCTTAACAAAGAAAGCCCCACAGAAAAGAAAATCCACACTGCAACACCTGAGTGTGTGCTGGGCTTTCACTGGCTTAAAATACTGACTGTCCACTACAATAGATCTCCGTACCTCATGTTACCACCAAGCAGCCTCCTTAGGTTAGTTATGCACCTTAGTTATGCACCTTACCTTCAGGACATAATACATTCTATCCGATGACACCTCCCTCAGAGGCTCAGGCCAGAGCTGTCTAGAGCAGTGAATGTTCCTAGACTCCGGGCCACAACCTTCGCTTCCGGTGAATTTGACGGGTCCCTGTGAATACCCCTGCCCACAGTAGGTCGCCCACTGTTCCAAGTCACCCTGGTCCTCAGGGGAGGCCCTGGAAGACCTCTGTCTCCCTTGAAGCATGATGAGAAAAGGCGCAAAATCTTAGGGAGCAGCTTTGAAAAATGGCAGAGAAACAGTGACTGAAGATGAAAGAGATGAAAAGGGAATGCTGAGGTTTCGCTTAATGTTTCAGCAGGAAAGCTTAAGAAAGGAATGCCTCTTGTATCCACTTGTCTTTCCTCTCAGGGCCTTTTCAACCCAGCACTTCTCATGTACCCTCCACCCTCACTCTGCAAGTCTTTGTCCAAAAATTACAGATTTAACTCTTTTCTTCCTCCCATTAAATTTATGACATGTTTTTACAAGGCCTTGACATGTTAGTTTGGCACAGAGTACAAGAACCTGTGATTGGGACAGGGGCAGTTTTTAAGGTCAGACACAACTTCACCAGACTGCTTCAAGGTGGTACACCAATGTGTCATCATTAACTTCACCAGACGTGACAAAAATGATCATTCCCTCACTGTCTGAATAGCTTGGAATTTTAAACAGTCTAGTAAATAAGAGCAATTGTGTAAAAATGTTGAGATTATGTTGCAGATTATCTTTCCATGCAATGACATGGAAAGATTTTCATGAAAATTAAAATGACCGGTAAAAGAAGTATGTATGATGTGGCTGCACTTTTTAAGGGGATGTAGAAAAAGAACAGAAGGCATATATCTACCATCATCTCTGCTGGATGGCAGTACCCGTATTCCTTTCATTGTTCTGCTTATCTGTATTTCCTGGTGTTTCTGTAATTAGCACACAGCAATAAGGGAAAAAACAGCCTGAAGAAAAGAAGTAAGATGACTATGTAAGCTAAGAATTTTCTCAGGATTCTATTCTTACTTTTGGAAATAACTACTTCATGACAAATGGCATAGCTCATTTTATATATGCTCCATTCCCTTTGGAGTACAGGTTTGTTTGGTTTCATTTGTTGCCTTTTACTTAACAGCAAAGAAAGTAAAAACAGAGAATCATTTACTTGGGCTTTTTTCAAGGGAACAGGTTGTTAACGTATTATCAGAATTCTGCCCCATAAACTGCTCTAAACAGAAAGGGGAAATGTGCCACCAGCTGCACTAGATGATGCGGTAATGACATCAGCATGACAAGGACAGGCAGGCACTGCGGGTCCCCAGTGTGACGCAGAGAAGATTCCAGCCCAGGGTGCACTTCCTGGGCGCATGAGCAGCTGTTTCAGATGGAAGAACGCTGATGAGACAGGACGATTAAGTGCAATATAAAGTCCTGGATAAAAGACACTGTCTCAACCAGTAGAGAGATTTTCATGCGCTCTGTGAATTGGTTGGGAACGTAATGGACTCTGACTCTTGACTGGGAGGCAGAGGCGGGAAACACTCCCATCTTTATGTCACAAAGCCCAAGATTCCTACACAGGAGAAAGACAGACACAGAGAAGGAGCGAAATGAATGAAATGAAGATGCTGACAACTGGGGAATCCGGGGAGAGGGTAGGGGGTTGAGGGGAGGGACCGCAGGGGTTCTCCAGAGTGTTCTTCCAGCTTTTCCCTGTAGGACAGAAACTATTACGCAATGAAAAACCGATGAACCTCACGGGAGCCTCAGACACAGGAGGACAGAATATGACGATGGAGCAAACACAATGGAGTCTGCCCGGCAGTGGAGGGAAGTGCTCACAGACCATCTAAACTAGGGGTGTCGAACTCAATCAGAGAAGGGGCCAAAAATCTAAAATCCAGCCTAAATCGCGGGCCGAATGGTTTACTGAACAGTCATAAACTGTCATTGTGATGGAAACGCAGTGGAGTGCAGTGATGACAGCGCGGTGCGGGCCACATTGCAAGGCCTGGCGGGACGGATTTGGCCCGAGGGCCTTGTGTTTGACACATGTGATCTAAACGGTGCAGTACGGTGAGGAGACAGTGAGGAATGCAGGGTGTGGGTCCTCAGGGATGTGGGAATGGCAAACCTGAAAGTGTGCTTAGTCCCTGGATGTCATGAGGCTCAGTGGATGGCAGAGGAACTAGACTATAACCAAGGAGGGGAGAAAGAGTCAGGTGGGGAGGGAGGAAGGGAAGAAGAAATAGAAAGTTAAAACCAAATGCCCACACCCAAGTCCACTGGTAGCAACCAGAACTCTCCAGAAAAGAGTGCTGCTCTTGAAATGGGTGTGAAACAAATGAATAAAGGTTTTAAGCTCTGAAATCCCTGCCACAAGCCTCCTCCATCACAGACTGAACTCACCTGGGTGCAGTGCAGTGTCCTGAGCACCACACGCTGCCCTGGGAATTCACGCTGCAGCCGCGTCACAGGACACTGAGGCTCGGCTAGGGCGTCTGTCAGTGCCCGGGAACCCCAGGACCATGGTTCAGACTCCTCTATGGCCCACTCCGAAGTCCTCTACCCTGCCACTACGTGGTTCTGCACGTGTTTTCTTCATTAGGAACTTGTTCAAAAACTCTCTATTCTTATACAATTCTAAACTCTGGAGTTCTCGTTTACTCACTTACATACATTTGGAACTGGCAAATAAAAGGACGGCCCAAAGCAGCAAAAAGAAACTGCTGTCTATAAGATGTCAAGGAAAACACAAAAGCAAACAGACACAAACTGGATCACCATAAAATCCAGTAATAGACACTGAAAATGATCTCAAATTACCCAGAAAAGATGAAACCGTGTTCTAAGTTTCCTTGTATATGGCAACTTATACATGCCTGACTTATATTGAGAGCAAGAGACAGAGCACTGGACAGCACCTGGCACATAGTAACACCACATAAACGCTTATTATAAATCTGGTAATGTGCCTGTCCGGGTGGCTTGGTTGGTTAAGTATCGTCCCAGACCCCAGAAGGTTTCAGGTTCAATTCCCAGTCATGGCACATGCCTAGGTTGTGGGATTGATCCCAATTAGGCCTCAGCTGATCGATGTTTCTCTCACATCTCTTCCCCTCACCCTCAAGTGAAATCTACAGCTATGTAGATTTCATATATATTTCAGCAATGAATTGGTTTTATTTGAATAAAAAAAAAATCTAAAATTTTATTCACTGGAGGGAATGACTACATTACTGTCCAGAAATCTTGCTATCCTGAACACTGAAAACTAAAATTCACCAAGTTGTATATGGATCCCCTGATTTACAATCTATCTCATTTTGAGAATTTAAAAAGATTAGAATGAAGGTCTTATTAGAATAAAATTCCATATTATCATAGTTTTTAATAAACATAGTCATTCCTGTAGTTTTAGTCAATAACATTTCCCCAAAACTAAAATTATAATAAAAGCCAAATATATGTAATATGGCATATCAACATACTTTCTCCCTAAATCTTCCTTGATTATGGAATTCTGGCAAATACATAACAACAGATATGAGGCTGCCAATCTAGCCTCGCATAATCATCCAAGTCCACATTGCCATAATAATACAGGGGGCAGGGAACCGTGGGAAGGAATTAATGCTACAGCCCCCCCTTCCTCTCCAGACGTGGGGGCCATGTGCTAGGTAGGCATTTTGAACCTAACCTCTTTTTATCCTCCCTCAAATGCTGGGACATAAGCATTGCCCTCCCTTAACAGGGAAAAAATGGAGTTTGAGACAAGGGTAAGTGATGGTTCAAATTCACACAGCTGGTGGGTGGGGGTGGGATTCTGACTCTGGTGCCCATACTCCCTCTTCTTTCTGAAGCCACCTCTATCGCAGGCAGGGAGCCCACAATTGTCTGCTGAAGCACCACTTCATTACGAAAGACACACAAAAAGCAAAAATTGGTAACACCAAAAGCGAGATTAAGGCAAACATGAAATTTAGTAATCAAGGACATACACTGGCGATGAAGTTAGATTCCATAACCACTGTCTTTGTCCTATAAATGTTCCTATGAAAAGTGTATACTTTGAGAAACTATGAAAACATCGAAGGATGGCAGTTTTTCATAGTTTTCCTAGAACGTGTTAAAATTATCTAAGAAAAAAGACAGAATTTGTATTCACTTATTTAACTAAAAACTGATGACGAGAGCATAAATATAATATGGGACATTTTGGACAAAGATGTCACCCGGAAAGAACTGGAAGATTTAGGGAGCTATGAGCATCAGAATCTGCCTGGTGACATCGCTTTCCTTGTCTTAAGTTGTATTCCATGGAACTCCTGCCTCCTCTAACAAAGTAGTGGAGTACAAGTCAAAAGGCAGTGTGACTTACTTTGGCTCTCCTATCTTGATGCCAGGATGTTGTGTGTAGGCATGGGAATGTGTGCTGGGGGCAGACTTAAACGCCATTGGACAAATAGAACACTTGTAGAAGACTTCACAGTGAGAACCTTGGATGTGAGACTTCAGTGCGGCCACATCAGAGTACACAACATTGCAATGTACACATCTGTTAGAAAAATAAACACAGAGTCATTAGCACAAGACCATTACATGGGTGTAACTTAGCTGGGTAAAAACTGAGTAAAATGAACACATTTTAACACCCCTTTAAGTTCCTAATAGCTTTCTGGAAGTAAGCTTTGTTTTTTCTAATGCTAGAACATCAAATTATTTTTATGCACGGAAGAAGAAAGATATGAAGAAGAAAGGTAAAGCTCAAAAGGTCTATTTTTTTTTTTTTTTTTTAACATCTTGAAAGTTTCTAGAATTGGATGTCCAGACTCCAGACTGTGGTGAGACCAGTGGATCATGGGGCCCATGATCAAGGTGTCAGGAGCACAGCAAGCCTGTCTTGACTCCTGGCTTTGGAGGAGGCTCCTACATGCTGGATTATGACACGAGGGCCCCGAGGTTCCTCCCACCCCCTTTACCCAATGGCATATCCAATGGAAGAAATCTTCCCTATCTGATCCTATGTGTCATCATGGAGGGGCACAGAGGAACACGTGAGTGCTGGGGCCAAGGCCAAGGCCACTCACTGTTCCTGGTCCACACTGCTGTGGTTAATGTTTCTGGAGGTTAAGGGACCCATTAGGTAGCGAAGGTCAACCACCTAGTTTGTCTCCTAAAAAATAAATTTAAGTCCACTCCAATTTAAGAAAAGACACAAACAATAAAATTCAAAACAAAACAAAAAACCAACATGTCTAAATAAATCATCTCTCTAGCTAACCTCTTTACATCTTGAATTTCTAGTAATTCAGTTAGCTTCTTCCTCATTTTGATCTACTCCTACAGAAATAACTGTAAAATGTAGAGATACATTTCTCCCCAACCCCATCTTTAACACTCAAGGACTCCCAGCAACAGTGAGTGTGTGTGACCATTTGATGACCTGCTTGTCCTTCTCTGTTGACATCAACTATGTGAGTGGGAAAGCCGATCTGAGGAATGAAGACTGCAGACAGGGCCCGCCTTCCAGGAGGCAGAGCTTAGTGGCGGCTCTATTAATCTAAGGTACTTCTATTCTTAGATCCCCCTTTTGAATTCCTGGAGATACTCACAAAGCCTCAGGGGAATGGCATGCTCTGAATGACTAATGTTCTATAAAGCGTGCCATGTTAAGCTTTGCAAGCATTTTATAAAAACCATTATTAATGCATTAGCATTTTAAATGGCTTAAAGCATATTGTTCAGCAGCAAATACAGTAACAACACTAAATAACAACAGGAGAATCATTAAGGAAAGCTCCCCCATCTTGTCTACTACTATTTTAGGCAATAAAGCCACCCAAGCTAAACATACTGAAATTATTCTGGGTTAACCTGAACTTGTGTTGTCTTGAACAGGTTATTATTGATCCTCTCTGGGCTGGTTTCTCATTTGTAAAATGAGATCTTTTTTTTTATTATTATTATTTAGTCCTTCCCAGCCCCAGAAGCCTGTGAACCCCATGAAAGAGAAAGGTGACATAAAACAAAACCAGATGGGTTTCTAATGAAACAGAAGCATCCTCTACACCGTGAGTCATAGACAAAAGGTTTTTTCCAAAGGGTAAAAGGGTGGTATTCAAAGGGCAAAAAAATAAGAAAGGGCCTAAAGGAACAAAGAGCTCATTCTCTGAAGTTGCATGGAGTGAAAGAATAAATCCTCAAGAAAATAAGCAGGATATTAAAGAACCTACAGCTGATAAAGGAGGTGGCTAAAGCTTGGTCCCAATAGCATCATGGAGGTCAAAGGAAAACCCTCTTCAATGGAAGGAAAGAAAGAAAAGAGAGAGCTGCAAAATACCAGCCTAGAGTGGGAGAAAGGTTCAGGGTAGCAAGAAGAAGGTAAGACAAACAGAAGTCAGAATCTGAAGGGGCCACACAGTATACTAATACTACTAAAAATCAGTCTGTTGATATTTAAATCCTTTGTGTTCTGGGTATTAAGTTTATCATAATGTGTTTATTTTTAAAATGTATACAGTATAGAATCCAATAAAAATTCCCTTTCTAGATTCAGATTCAATGGATCAAGAAGCAAGAAAGTCCAGAGAAATATTTGACTTTTACCAAATTAACCATAAGCTAGAAGTGACCCCCCCTTCATTATGTAGAAGATGCAATATGATCAAGAAGAAAGAAAATGAGGCATACTGAATCTGAAAGAGACAAAAGAAGACCTGGAGCTGTGTCAGAGAGATTCCTCTGCCAAAAGAAAATAAAACAAACAAAAAACCTAGAAAGCCAAAAAGAAAAAAAAAAACATACAAGGCCGAGGGGTTGCTGAGCCCCAGTTCAATATTAGACTGGACCTTTATTTAAAACAGCAAGATCTTTCTTTAAGATCAAGCCAAACCTGTGTGGCTTAGTAGTTGAGCGTTGACCCATGGACCAGGAGATCACCGTTTGATTCCGGTCAGGGTATATGCCCAGGGTTGCAGGCTCAATCCCCAGTAATGGGTGTGCAGGAGGCAGCCAATCAATGATTCTCTCTCATCATTGATCCCTCTCTCCCTCTCCCTTCCTCTCTCTGAAGTCAATAAAAACATTTTTTAATTTAAAAACAGTAAGATCAAATTCTTTTCTATCACCTAAAAAGGCAAACATGAGCTAAACTTCAGAATACACAAATACATAGTATTTTTACAGCTACTATAAGCTTCATGTCTAGGGGGGAGGGGGGAAGGATCTACACTAAACACAAAAAATTTGGGGTAAAATTCAAAACCCCAAATAAAAGCAACTCTGTGAATGTGGCAAAAGAGGGGGGTGGGAAAGAAAAGCAAGGGAGCTTCAGAGTCTCTGTTTTAATTAGGAAAGGTACCAAGAATAATTAAAGTTACAGATGTCTCACTTTCTTTAGTCGTTCCAAACTAAGTTTACTTTCATTATATTAGAAAAATAAAGCATCTGAAGAAAGTTTGGCATCTGTTAAAAGAAGCGCACTCAAAACATGTTGTCCATGAGCATTATACAAAGAATCCAGTACAGGGACCTTCTAACGTGGGGGAAGAACCACGGTAAAACTGTGTACAGATTCTGGGGAAGCAAGGGCACCTTCTGTGTGTAACTTTCTCCCTAAGCACTTAGCATGCAGTTGGATATTCCTGTTTTACTCTGTATCATCCCAGTGGAGATGGAGGAAGCATCACACCAATTTCATAGACAGGGCACCGAAGAACAGAGATAACACATGGATTAACATATGACTAGCAGAACTGGTACCCACAAACTCTTGGTTTCTTCACTTCCAAACCCAAGGTTTTCTACTAGGGTAACCCCCAACTCATTAAATATTGTGCATCACAGGTCTGGAGGCAGGAGATTAAAATATAAAATAATGATGCCATAATCAAAATTTAACTGAAATAAAACTATCTAATATATCACTGGACTTCATTTTTATAGATTATAACTGTATTACAACTAAAAAAAAAAAGTCACTGTACATTAACAGTCTAACTTAAAAGACACTAGGCAACCAAACAGTTAAGTTTGAGACAAACACACAGTACAGTAATACCTCTATTAACAAAGACACTATGTCTCAACAACTGGTTTTCTTGGTGGGCCTTCATTGGGTCAAAATATAAAAGGCACAGGAATGCATTTCTAAAGGTCACAAAGTGGAGAACAAAGTTCAAGTAACTCATCAATCGATATTAACTAAACATGAGATTTGTCATATGTTCCAAAAGACACATCTGAGCATCTTAGTGGGCAGTGAAAGGGGTTCTAGTCAAGATGTGTGAAGAGAGGAAGAAGCCTGGGCAGAGGTGATGGAGAAGAAGGACTTGAGAAGGTTACCTGGGGTGGCAGGCACTTCCACCAAGAGCCACATTAGAAGAGAACATACACCCAATCCTTTATCATGACAAAGTAAAAGTAAGGAACCATCACACCCTTTCTGATTGAGAGAGGAAAGATTAAGATGTACAGACATGCATGGTATTGTTACAGGAATTAAAATGCAAAGGAAGACAACAAAAGTATGCTGGAAAGGGCACAGAAAGTAAAGCTTGAGCAGTCCATCAAAGGCAAACCCTGATACATGCACACTTTTGCCTAGAAGGTTCCATTCACCCTCAGGTGTGCGTGGGCCAGGGGGCCAAGCCCACATTCAAGGATTCAAACAGATCAATTCTACCACAAACGAGGAGCTCGGTCCCCAGAGGATCTGTTAATCGAGGTATCACTGCATGACCCTGAACACAATATGCACAGACCACTCCAAATGCTGTGCGGTTAGTAAGTGAACAAGCTTTACTTGCGCGTTAAGTCGACGAAATACTGACCGAAAACCAACTCTCCGCGTGTAGTGCAGACAGTTCTTGGTGACGTGGGTCTGGAAGTGCATCGACCTGCAGATGGCCCCGCACTCGGGGCAGGTGTAGGGAGATTTGTGCTGATGGATTCTCTGGTGGGATGCATAGCTGCACTGGTTGGGAAGCAGCATCTGGCAGATAGTGCAAGTCTTCTAAATAAACCAAAGGGGGAGACAGGGTTGGTCCTACGAAGTACTTTCTAGCACGCAAAGAAGCTTGGTTAGACCTCAAAATCTCTACACAGCGGTCATTTCAAATACGACGATAACTGGTTCTAAGCCCAAGGAAAAAGCAAAACTGAAAGTCACATGTTCAATGAAAAATTCCTTACCCTGTAAAGTAAAAATAACATTTACTAAGTAGGCAGGCTCATGCCAAAGTCTGAAGAGAAGGTCAGCTTTAGGCAGAGTTCCAATTTTGTTACCTTTGCATTTTGTTAAGTGTAAAGAAGAGGTAGCAGAGAGGTGTTCTTGCCAATTATGTGAGCAAATCAACATGAATGTGTAAATACAAGTTTATGGGCATCTATCTTGACAATAGTCACAGTTCTCACAACTCAAAAAAACGTTCTTTAAAATAATAAAAATGAATTAGAGTCTAATCCAGATTAGATATATACATTTTACATCACATCAGTGGTTTGCAATCTGTAAGACAGGGATGCAAAAGAATGGCCACAGCAATTAGTTGTGTTTTTGTTTTTTGGGGTTTGTTTTATTGTGGGTTTTTTGTTGTTGTTGTTTTTTGGGGGGGTTTTGCACATTGATCTTTAAATGAATGAAGTGGACATTATATGACTTATAAGTAAAACCAATGAAGTCAAGTTCAGAAATGTAAATTTAGTTATTAAATTGAAACTTTAGATAGAGCTTAAAATCTAATCACATGTAAAATGAAACTGAGACTGAAATCCTCTTTGGAAAGGCTCTGAATCATTAAGTAACCAGGGAAAACTGAAACACGATTTTTCATCCCCTAGAAGTAAGTACTACACATGGCATATTTTTAAAACTTAAAGTAAATATAAACTGAGGGCTTAGTACTCCCATTCCAAAAGTAAACCTAACATAGCACAAGATAAATGTATTTGAATACTATTTGGGTCTTCATGCAATGAGTGTCTACTATCTTCTAAAATGTATAATTTGCATTAAAGTCTGTTTTCTTAAAAGCCTCAAAACATAGACTCTAGCTAAGATTTAAAATGATCTTTTGACTGACAAAAGAATTACAACATTTTTTAAAGAATTTTTATTCTTTTAGCTTTTGAATCAAGTCCAAAAATGAATGTTTCAACTTCTGAGCAACTCAGACTAAGAAAAAAAATCAGAAACTCTCTTGAAAATTTTTTGTTTTTCTCCTGAAAGAACTAAAATACAAATTTTATCCCACAAAATGTTTATTATAATCACAGAGTAAGCACATTACAGGCAGCTTTGACGAGGTTAGCATCATTAAAAAATACCATTCCTTTTCTAATAACAATATACCAAAGGTTAAAACAAGCTACGCCAAAGAAAACCAATCAACAGATTTGTTAATTATTAGATCCTGTTGACATCTACCTTATCACAGGTACTCATCTCTTTCTCTGGACTAAAATTTTCTATTTTCACCACAATCATTAATCTCAGGCAGTGAATTATAATGTCTGAATTTCCACAACATCTTAGAATGTCTTGCACTTACTTAGGAATAAAATCAACATATTCTATACTAAAGTCAAATCATATTTCATTTATATAGATACTAACTCCATTCTACCGTAAGTCAAATGAGCTACACATTTTAAATAAATACATTTAAATACAACATCTCATTTAGTTATCATAATAACGTATGAAGTAGACATTATTATGTCATTTTACAGATGAGGAAATGGGGTTTGAGAAGTTAAGAAACTGCCACGGCCCCACAGTTAGTAAGAACCAGGATGTGACTGGACGCTGACTACTTCCAAGGCCTGTGACGGAGTGCTCGTGAGGGGGTGTCATGGGGGTTACAAGGAATGAACAAACACAAATACACAGGAGAAACACTTTAGCAAATACCCCTCAGTACCAACAGTGACCAGTATGTTAGCATGACAGGTGCTCCCCCTCCCTCCACAGCTTCTCTTTCGTCAAGTGCATTGTGGTTAAACTATTTTTATAATAGAAAAAAACAGCAATAAAAAGAAAAATCTACAAAGGAGACAAAGTATGTGTTCCGTAAAAACTGAAAAATCTTTCATGTTATCCCTCATCAAGATATGTATAGCCTTCACAATACACATAAAATTCACAATGAATTGTGTAAATGCTCTTCCCTATTGGACATTTATATGCTTATAAAACATATATAACTATATAAAAAGTTATGAATGTGTTGGTGGTGAAAAAGCTTTGTTTCTAACAAATTAACAATAAAATATCAAAATTATTCAATTCAAAATAGGTTTTGTAAGTATTAAGTGCTCTTTACAACAGAAACCTGTGACTACAAACACTGAAAAATGTTTAGAGTTTTGGGGTCACCCAAACACCACCCTATCAACCCCAACTTCTCTCACACCAGCTCTTCCTGTCTGACAATGTGCAGGGTGGTCCCCCTTTTTTCCCCCCCCACCACCCCTCGCCTTGGGGCTCTGTGAGAGCTGGGTCCAGCTATAACCCCCAGCACTGCCGCAGCCACTGACCAGCTACAGGAATGTGCACGATCCACATCCACTGGGTGAGGTTCCCACCCTCTTTAGATGCAGAAGTACCAGGAAAAAGTGGGAGCTGGTGTGGACTACAGCCTCAAACCAAGATGCTTTCATATTCCGCCATGACTGAAAAGGGAGCAGCACCGGCCACTGGGAATTGCGCTGATTGAGGACCTCAGGTTCAGTGTGCACATACAGATGTGTATACATCCGTGCACACGCACTGTATTTTCTCCCACATCCCTGCTGCCGCTCCTCACCTCCATTCTGCTCTGAGAAAAAGCATGCTGTTTAGGTTGTAGACATTTCTCCTAGATGGTTGGTGTGACATCCATAGCTTTGAAGTCACTAAGTACAGTTCACCTAACTGAACGTCCTTGGATTTTAGTCACCATGACTGCTTAGACAGTATTGTTATCCCTGCTCCTGAGAGAATGGTGATCAAAGGCATGTGTCCCATTAGCTTCTCTGGGATCCTCTGCCTTCATTGCTCCTTGACCCCCTTCTCCGGATGTGGGGGACGTATTAGGGCAGAGGAGCAGGCCAGGATTTCTGTGGTCTAAAAGACATGACTTCGTTCTGTTTTTAATATAAACAAAGAAACTACAATATATCTTAAAACTCTAACTCCCTACAAGTTGAGACCTTTTACAAGAGGACCAAGCAATTTAATGTGACAATACCTGTCTTTTGAATAAAAAAGAGTAAAAGTACTTAAATGGTGTCAAGTGTCTTGATATTTTATTTACATCATCTAAAAATGGATGAATGTTTTCAGAATTTAAGCTAATTTGTATTCTGGGGCAGACTCATCTGCTCAGAAAACTGCTACTTTTTCAGGAAAGATAGTACTTTTCAAGTGAGGAAGCACGAGAAGCTACAGGAAAACAAAGCTGAAAAGTAATCATGATCTACACTTGACAACTACATGCATTGCGCCTTCTCTGCCCACTCTGGCACCAAAATCGATGGCTGCCTCTCCCATGGGCTGTGAGGCAGGGCAACCTACGGCCCTATTAAGGTTCAGGGATGTCCGAGTAACAAGGAAACAATCCTGTGTTTCCATTCATATTTTGTGGAGAAAAATAGGTACAAGGGGAAAGGTAATAAAGGTGAGAGACAAGTGAGTTAGCACAGCATGTATTTATGCGTAAATTCCAGAGACCAAAGGCGAGAGACAGCCAGAGACATTGCATCTAAAGGTCAAAACAGTCAGCTTCACAGCCAGCCCAGAGGCGAAGTAAGCTGTTTCTGCCTCTTTAACAGCAGCTCTATAGCCTTCTGTCTACAGCATTATTACAAAAAAATAATAACAACAATGAAGCACACTCATTTGTTTTCTGGTTTCCACATTCACACATATTCACAATGAGAACCAAGAGAGAGCATTTCATTTCCAATCTCACTGCAACGGAAATAAGAATTACAGCAGAAATGACTATATGCCTTTGTTCCCAGAGCTGGTTTGGTTGTGATGTTTTTTCCCCTTATTCTGCTAAAAAAAAAAAAATAAAAAAAATAAATAAAAATAAATCCCTAGTATAGTTGACAGTAGAATGGGCACATTTTCAGAAAATATGGTCAATGTACAGAATCCATTCAGATGATAATCAGTGGAGAACAGAGTTAAGTTCAGGTTGATAACACTGAAATATAAACTGAGACAGGCCTCGCCTAACTAAAATTAAAATGAAGCATTTCAGAGCAGGGCCAAAATCTCAAAGTCCTGAGCCTACAGCTAATAATGGTATTTGGGGTGGGCGAGGAAACCCAGGCAGGCGCCAGTTCCCGGAAGCTGCCTAAGCAGAATACTTCCAGAAACGAGATCTGGCTGGGCTGCTCAAGATAATGTAATGCACTTGGTATATTGTATTAACGATGCCCAGAAAGTTCCTGAACTACACTGAGTCCCTGAGAGGGAGGACAGGACAGTAAGTCACCTTCCTTCACGTGCACTCTTGCAACTGGTCTGCATGTAACCCACGAGACAATTCTCAAATGATTCCAATGGTGCCACCCTGTAAAATGCTGTGTCTATATCACAGGTTATCAGCATGACCCAGGGAAGGAACAGCGAACCAGCAATACAGAAGTCTTGCCTTGAGTCCCAACTATGCCACACATTGGGCATTTGTGTCTTCAATTGGAAAACACAAGGGCTGACCAAAGGACCTACAGCATCCAATTCTATGGCTGATGCAGACTCTACAAGAAAACTGATTTTGCCTGTTTTTTAGAGGTCACTGAGTGCACCGCCAGTCTGTACTTGGCTAAATTTAGCCCTGGTTTCAGAGAGGTGAAGCGATGACATTCTAACACATCTAAATATTAATTATTAAAACTAAAGTTGTCAGCTCTTCAATACTTTATGGAGCGGAGGAAAGCTTCTCTTGCCCCTTCACCCACTCTTGTATTCAATGTGTCCCAAAGCAGGGGTCAGTAATCATATAGGTCAGCATACAAACC